TTCTAATTCTTGATCATCTTCTTCTTTAATTTTCGTTTCAGTTTCAAAAAAAAAATTATGTTTGCGCATCTGTCTTGTTTCTGCGTTTGCACTCATTTGTGATTCTGATTCCGATTTCTGCATTGGAATTTGATTCTACACATGCAACTTTTCTCAGTTTTTGAATTTTTTGCATTACGGTTTACGTTTCGGGCAGTTTTGGAAAAATTTGGGAAAATCGGTAAAACTTCTGTCTGAGGGATTGGCTTCGGGAGTTTTATTCCCAAAGGAAATCGATCTTCTGAGCATAAGTCACGCCCTAAAAGGGCGTGAAGTGTCCTTAATTTTTCCAAATTCTGTCATTTACTAACCCGTTTTAGTTTTTCTTTGTCGTTTCAGGACGTATCGGGTATTTCTGCTATTGTTCAACGTGCTCCGATTGACCTGAAATTTGGTGACGTGAAGGAGGAGGCGATCCCGGTCAAAATTCATCGAGGAGTATCCTCCATGATGGAAGCCCAATTTTAGTCGAATTCAATCGTTTGCTATTTTATTTTATTTTTTGAAAAAAAATTATTTGATTTTTGAGTCCGTAAGGTCAATTAGAGTTTAGGAGAGTTGGTCTCATAGAATTCTGAGGTCATTTGGTATTTTTCGTAGATTTATTTTTGCTTCTGTTTGCTATTTTCGGCAAATTTTTGTGTCCTATCGTATGTTTTGTGATTTTACTGTTGTATGCCTTTACCTATGATGCATGACTAGGAATACCACCAGCGTTGATGATTTATATGCATATGACCCTGAGATAGAGAGATCATTGCATGCTGCTAGTAGAGCTCGTAGGTTGACTTACAGTAGAGCTGTTCCTGAGCATACCTTAGAGTCTGAGTCTGTGGAGTCTGTTGAGTCTGTTTGTTCGAGTCCTTTACATAGTGTTTATTCATTTGGTAATTTATTTGATTCTGAAATCATGGGTGATAGAACACTTAAGCAATTGGCTGCTCCTACTGTTGATAATGAGCAGCCCCTGTGTATTCGTTATGCTAATCTTGTTGTACCTTTTGAGCTTAAGTCTGGACTGATACACTTGCTTCCCAAGTTTCATGGTCTTGCAGGTGAGGATCCTCACAAACATCTGAAGGAATTTCATATAGTCTGCAGCACTATGAAGCCAACAGGGGTGGATGAGGAAAAAATCAAGCTGCGTGCTTTTCCTTTCTCTTTGGACAGTGGAGCTAAGGACTGGCTGTACTACTTTCCACCTTCCTCCATTGTAAGATGGAATGACATGTCAAGATTATTTCTGGAGAAATTCTTCCCTTCATCCAGGGCCACCACAATCAGAAAAGAGATCAGTGGTATAAGACAGGCTAATGGAGAGAACATGCATGAGTATTGGGAGCGGTTCAAAAGGCTTTGTGCAAGATGCCCACACCATCAGATTCCAGACAATCTCCTGATTGTTTACTTCTATGAAGGGTTGCTGCCTATGGATAGGAATCTTTTAGATGCAGCTAGTGGGGGAGTCATGAGCAATAAAACACCTGATGAAGCAAAAAATTTGATTGCTGAGATAGCAGCTAATGCTCAACAATTTGGCACCAGAGCAAACAACAGTGCAGTGTTCCAAGTGCAAGCTCCTCCAATGCAAAATCCAATAGTGGCAGCAGCAGGAGCATCAAGAACAGATAACCAGAGAATGGAGAACAAACTTGATGAGTTGACATCAATGGTGAGGCAGTTGGCAGTGACACAGATTGTGCAACCTTCTGCTCAACAGATAAGCAACCTGTGTGGCATCTGCTGTGAGCCTTCTCACCCCACAGATGCTTGTCCTTCCTTTCAAGACAACAGTTTCCAAGTTGATCAGTCTGTTGCTGCAGTTTTTCCTGGAAAGCCACAGTACCAGCAGCAGCAGCAGCAAAATAATCCCTTCTCTAATACATATAATCCTGGCTGGAAAAATATCCAAATCTCAAATGGAGCCAGAATCAGCAAAGTGCACCATTCCAACAGAGGCAGCTGTTTGTACCTTCACAGCAGAGGCAAAATTTTCAACAATTTGCACCTCCGATACAGCAGCCATCCATGCAGCAACAAGCCAGTAGCAATGGTCCTTCTTTGGAGGATTTAATGAAGCAAATGTCAACTAACAATCTGCAGTTCCAATAGAGGACTGATTCTTCCATCCAGAATTTGCAACCACCGATTGGCCAACTTGCAACATCAATGAGTCAGACTCAACAAGCAAGTGGCAGCTCCCTTCCATCCCAAACAGTTCCAAATCCAAAAGGAAGCGGAAATGTAAGTGCTATTACTCCGCGGTCTGGAAAGCAAATGGAGGAGCCAAACCAAGTTGCTACTGAGTCATCTAAAGGAGGTGACACTAGTTCCAAGAAGCAGAACATTGATACATCTGATATCCATATCCCTCTGCCATTCCCTCAGAGAGCCACTCAGTCCAAGAAGCAATCAGCAAAGGCTCAAGATAAAGAGATACTTGACACCTTCCGAAAAGTGGAGGTGAACATCCCTCTTCTGGATGCAATACAGCAGATTCCGAGATATGCCAAGTTTCTAAAGGAGCTGTGCACCAACAAGAGGAGACTGAAAGGAGAGCAAGTTAACCTCAGTCAGAATGTATCAACACTCATCCAGTCTATGCCTAAAAAGTGTCAAGATCCAGGGACATTTATTATTCCTTGTGTAATTGGCAATTCTGTTTTTCATGATTGCATGCTAGACTTAGGGGCTTCCATTAATGTCATGCCTGAATCTGTATATAAGTCTCTTGATCTTGGTCATTTGCGTGCTACTAGTATTGTGGTTATATTAGCTAATAGGAGTAGTATTCACCCATCTGGTTTGATTGAGGATGTATTGGTCAGGGTTTATGAAACCAATATCATCAATGAAATTAGGGTTAAGAAGAAGAAGAACGGTTTGTGCGTATATTAGGTGGAAGATGAAGATATGAGTTACCCTCTTTTGGTTTTTTCGATTTTGCAGCTTCTCATTTTTATTTTGTATATGTACGATGCAATTGTGGCTTCATAATAACCAAAAGAATATATTATTATATATTCTTTCATTTTCTTATTTATTTTATATTTTTTCTCCACTGAGCATAATTACTAATATCCTTTGTATATCCAAAACAATAATGAATGAGGTAGAGATAAAGGAGTGGTTGGCTTCTTGCTCATATTCATTTAAAAAAAAAAAAAGAGGGCCTCTGGTTAGAGGTAGAGAAATGTAATATTTATGGTATTCAACATGATTGCAGCAGTGAACTTAAAAGGAACATATAAACAAATTATACACCATTCCATTACCATTCACTACCTTAACCATTTACGCCAAGGGCTGTAACAAAGAAACCCATATACCTGAACTTGATATACTTTTATTTTGACCAAACAACTCGGCTTTACTCAAATATTTTCTCATCATGCATTAGTTGGCTCTTTCTCAAGTCTCAACTATATTCGCAGGTCTCATACAAAGCAATATGTAGTGCGTAGTCAGTAATTTGTACCAAACAAATGCTTATTGTGATGCTCCACATAAACTTATTTTGATGAATTTGTACCATTGTCAATATGATTTCCCAGAAATTAATCTATTTGAGACAATTAAAAAATAACTTAGAAGTTCATGATTTTTATTTACCTAAAAAATGAGAGAAAAGATAAATTTACATTGTACTCAGTTCTTGGGTGTTATGGCATTGGAAACCATAAGATTACGCAAAAATAATGACCAATTTAGACATGTAGAAGGCTCAAATTCTAATTGTTCAAAGTCTAAGATGTTTCTAACACCATCAACAGAAGGGAATTTCCAGCCAAACTCCCATGATGAAGTTTCTAAATTTTTTTATAAGGAAGGACAATAGATTAAAAGTGCGAATTCCATTTTCTTCCTTCCAATACATATCACACCATAGTATACCATTTACTTACACTATTAAGTATCAACAACCAAAGAACTAATATCTTGTAAAAAGCAAAACCAAAATACATGCCAATAAGCACAAGATCAGAACTGAAAACAGTAAACAACCACGAAATTCCCACCTAATTAGAACTGAAAACATGTAATTATGGACAATTCTTTTAACACATGCTATTCTCAGAGCTAGCTTTTTTTTTTATATTTTTTAAAGTAACCTGTAACCTCTACCTTCACAGGTCGGGTTCATGGGGTGTGGTTTATTTTTTTTAAAGCAATATTTTCTGTTATTAGTTTGTCGAGGAGCTATAAAAATTAAAGAGAAGTAATAATTTAAACTAAGTTAGACCAACAGATACAGTGTGCAATTTTTGTACTTTGAACAGGGCGGTGGACTGGAGTTTTGGAATAGGAAAAATCCACAATAGATTGAAAATTATGAGGATCAAAATCTTATTTAAACCTAAGTTCAAATTGCAAACTTGGGTTAGTCGAATTTGGTCTCTACCATCCCTAATTTTTTTTCCCTCTATCTTAGCAGCCTCATTAATGGCCACGTGGACGTGCCAGCAGATCTCATTGGATTAGCTGGCATGCGAAAAGGTGTAACCACGCTCTCTGTGGATGACACGTGTATAAGGGAATAAGGTAATCACCTATTGGCTTCCACGCGGTTAAGGTCAGGACAGGCTTGGTGGGAGTTGAATGTTCACACTCTCATTTACGCGTGCGGGGTGAGGCGTTCATTGAATGCCAACAATGCCAACGATCTCTTGCATTGCACCCGACCCAAATCAATGACCTTCTCAAAAATCTTTGTAATCCATACTTCCACCATTCAAATTTATAAAACCATTCCCTGATCTTAGTTTCCTCCACCTGTGACCGGAAACAACTACCATACATGAACTTAGTTATATATCATTATAAAATATAATATTTTGCATAATTTGTAGAGTTCGATAAAATGACATCAAAATAAACTAGTCACAACACTTCCTTATGGTGCTTATTATTCTCAAGAAGAAGTTGAGAATTTATTTATCTAGTTGATTATTGCATATATCTCAAGGTGTGCCCATGACTTGTGCATTCACAATGACCTTGTAACGGTAGCGTTTAGCGCAGAAGAGGAGGTAGACAAGATTGAGAGCACCAAGTCCAGCTATGACGAAGTAATAGTAATCCAATCTGCCAGCGTTGAGGTCATTGTTCAGCCAATCTGTTTTGCCATACTTTCGTGTCACTTTGTGCACAATGTTCATTACCAAGGCACCAGCATAACTTGAGAAGCCAGCCACAAGAAATTGCAAGGAATTGCCAAGAGTTCTCATTTTCTCTGGCGATTCACTGTTGTAGAATTCAGTCTGTCCAATAATGCTAAATACTTCACACAATCCTAAAAAGGCAAATTGAGGAGCTAGCCACATGGCAGACATTGGTTTAACCCCATGAAGTGCATCGTGTGAGATAGCCACACTCCTTCTTTGCCACTCCACCAAACCACCACTTACCATAGTAAGAATTGAGAAGATGTTACCAATTACTATCTTTTGAAGGCCCGTCAACCCTTCCTCTTGTTTTGTGACTTTTGCCAGAGCTCGTTGCAGAAAGAGGTCATAGCAGAGGAGCCATATACCAATGCTGATTAAGGATATTATACTGAATGATGCAGGATGAATTTCAAAGTGTGATCCAAGATGGCGGTCCATTTTCATGGCCTGGATGACAGGAAAGATTCCTCCTTGTGCCATTGGTATCAAACACAAGATACCAGAAGCCCATATTGGTATAATTTTAATCACACATTTGACTTCTTCCACTTGTTGAATGCTGCACAACTTCCATGGATTTGTGACCAAACTTTCTTCATTAACTTCATTGTTTTGTATCATAGCAGCTTTGTTTAGAAACCTGTGCAAAAATCAAAGTTACCAAAAAAGCTTGTCCTTAATTGGATGAGGAGTAAATATTAAAACACACAAGTGAGATTGAGGAACATTACCTAAGTTGTTCGGTCAAAGGTATCTTCACTGTTTTATCATCTCTTAACGGGGGATCAAAGTAAACAACTTCTTCTTCATTTGTTGGGTTTTTTAGATGACGCTTCTTGTAAGCTGCAATAAACACTTGTGCAATACCAGAAAATATGCTCCCTTCTGCTGGAAGGTAAAAATAAGTTCTTGCTCCGGCAAAAAATATGATTATTGCACATAACATGAGAAGGGCTAGTATCCCAAAACCCTTGACCCAGCTTTTGCTTTGGATTTGAACTATTAAAGTATTATTGATCAACATGACCAGTGTCTGTGTGTTGTAGTACGAACTTAAGAATCTGCTGACTCCTTTCCTTCCATCAGAGGAAGTTGTGTCAAATTGATCAATGGCAAAGGGAATACTGCATGGTCTAATTCCACCTGTGCCTATACCCAGCCAGGACAGCCCCAAAATTAAGATGGCAAGCTGAGTAGTCGTTGGGGGAACACATGCTTGCTGCTCAGAAGTACAACTTGGAGGGTGAAATTCTGGCACCCATGCTGTAAGTGTTAGCAGCACTATTCCCTAATTAAGCACCAGCAAATGATTAATTAAGAAAGCAATAATAATTAAGAAGAAGAAACTTTTTCAATTTATTATAATGTTTCAAATATTTAACTAAGAAGAAAAATATCTCTAAGAGAGTAAAGAAACTTTGGTTAATTAAATTTATGAATTTGTAAGTTGAGGGAATGAAATCTCAGGGGCTAAACCATGGGGAAACTAAATTAATGCTAACAATTAAGCTCTTCAAATTAAAATTGATAAATCAATGAGCGATTGTACTATGTGTTTTAAATATAATGGAGTAGAGCATACCACAAGTGTTCCAAATGATGCCATAGCAATGGTTTTGAATTTTCCTAAATAGGCATCCGCAAGAGAAGCACCAATAATTGGTATGAAATTGCTCACTCCATACCATATGCTGATAACATTTGCAGCACCAACGTGACTCAAATGGAACATTGTCATCAAATACACGGTGAAATTTGCCATTATGCCGAATGTTGCTATTCTCTCAATAGTCTCATTTCCTACAAAATATAAATCACAAGACCGGCTTAGTTAACTCAACTTGATAACAAATTATATATCAATAAATAATATATACATATGCACATTTTTGTGTTAAGATAGGGACCTATGATGAAAAGAACGGCCTTCCATCCGGGCTTTCTCTCCATTGTCCTTGCATTTAAGGAATCCAAACCATCTTCAGTTGTTGACTGTGTCCTATTCTCCACCTCCATTATTTTTATCTGAAGTATCCTTTGTATGCTTGAACTAGGCTCCTTCAGATTATAGTTGTCAGAGCTAATAAGTGTTCAGGTAGCAATTGAGAAGTGGGCCGTAAGGAGCATGAATTGAAGTCAGCAATGACATGAAGACAATTAATATATTGCACTAATGTTTCTTGCATTAATCAAAATATGAACCTAAATATAAAAGTTTTCTAATACATGTGTCTTTAAGGGCAATATCTTCAGTTATTATACTAATAAAAATATTTTTTTTATTTAATAATGGGTTATATTTGATAAATTTTAAAGAAAAAAATATTTTTACTTGTATTGCAGGAAAAAAAAAATAATCTAACATGTTAACATAAAAGTGAGTGGGTCCCTCACATAAAAAAAATAGAATTTACTTACATTTTATGTGAATGTGTTCAAAAATATTTGTTTGCGGGAAAAACAAAAATATTAAACCAAATTTTAAATACGAGAAAAATATTTCTTCAATCACTGAATATAAAATTATCTCTAGTGAGCTCAAAACGACGTCATCTTAGGATTATAAGATTAAAATCTTTTATTATAAAAACTAATGTAACCCTACGATATATTATAATTACAAGAACACCTGATTTTCGTCCCAAAATAATACCATTTTGAATTCATTGGAAATATCTTACGATGGAGAAATGCTTTACTCTTTAAATATTCATTGTCAAAATAACATTTTAAAGAGTTATCTATAAACAATGCGCTGAGTTAAGTTGTCAATTTAGCCACAGCCCGTAGCACAATCCATTTAGTCCTAAAATTTGACCTTATTTTTTTGATAGCCCACTAGATAGTGAGACTTTTCACACTCCACACTCCACACTCCAAATCCACACAACCAAACAATTAACTAACAGACCAATCAGATCGCAGCACTGCAGCACGTTATCCGGAGCCTCGAGTCCCCAAAGGTTTTCACCCCCGGCATTCTTCTCGGTAACTATCACCACCGTTGATCATTAGCATGCATGGTTATATATGAACATGTCTAATACTGTATTACAATGACTCATACTTTGAAATAGATGCGTTTGTTTTGCTGACAATGAATCTTATCACTTTGACATGTCACGGCGAGAAAAAGAGTGAAGAAATATAGTTCTTGATTTGTTTATTGATTAATACATGTTGTTCACACGTGTTTGGGCAATAGCTAATACATGTTGTTCACACGTGTTTGGGCAGTAGCATGCGTGTCTTTTTTTCCACAGTATATTAGTTGGGGCACGTGAGTCATTGGGGCTGCCATGGTGACTTAAGTGAGTCACGTGCTTTGTAGCAGCGCCCTGATTATTGTGAGTGGGTTGGGCTGTTCTACTAAGCCCAATATTTCTTTCCCCAACCCCAAATCCATATTGGATCTGTCGGTCTTCTTGTCTTTTCTTTTTCTTTTGTTCTGAACAATATTTCCCCTTCTCTGCTTTCTTTGACTATTTTTCATTGGACCATGGTACTACTTTCTTTTTTTCTTTTTTTTGTAAATGGTACTACTTTCTTACATATACTTACAGTACTATATTACTATATTCGCTTGAACATGCTAATCAGAGCAAAAATCGCCCCTTTTTCAACAATGATTATGATCATTTTCTATGCAAACACAGACACCAATCGGTTCATTCATGAGGACATCAACCAGATATATAGTTACACAATACAAGATACAGCCACCACAATATTCTGAATGAATGCAGCAACATGTACATGCAGTGAGATTAGATTTACCGTTCTTCGCTTGATCAGCGAGTGCGTGAGTAGCTGTGCTTGACCGTTGCTCGATTGGCTTCGTTCCACTTGGATGCTCTCCTAGCTAGTTGATGCGGTGTGTTTGCTCTCACCAAGAGAAATGACACAGAGAGAGAGTAGTTCTGAGATATTAAAGGAATGAATTGAAAAAATTAAAAAAGAGTGAAATCAAAACTTAATATATTTGAAATTAGAGAAATGAAGCAATTATCACACTGTAATCTCAGTACAAACATGGAGCAGGTGCATAGAACCAAAGAGTTGTTAGGATTTTACAAAAAAAAAAAAAAAAAAACAAGTTGTTAGAAGGTTGTGTGAAAAGCTCATAAGATAGTTAGTTAAGGAGAAAATTAAACGTTGATGGGGACTCCTTTCTAACCGACGTAATAACACCGCCATCATTTCCTTAAACTCACCTTGAGAACGGGAATTTGAGAGAGAGAGAGTGAGAGTGAGCGAGCGAATGTGAATATGAGAAGAAGATGTGGTATTTATAGAGAAGATGGGTTGAAAGAGGGAAAGCGGGGCAAAGAGAGAGAGAGTTGCAGAATAAGAAAAAGGGTAGAATAAGGTGTAGGGGCTCATGCTTTCAGAAAAGAGAGAGTTCGAAGCTATTTCTCAAGTTCTTCAGTTTTCAGAAAATATAACACTCACTCATTCGTGTTGCCGCGTCCAAGAAAAAAGAAAAGGTACGTGCATTTTCTCAAGTATAACATTTAAGATTTTAAATTGATTCAAGAAAATCCAATAAACTTAAGAAGAGATTTTATCCAGATCAGTTTTTTATCTAAAATTATTAAAAAAAAAAAAGGCTAGAAAAATTTTAAAAACCAGCAAAAGAAAAAGATTATTCAAAAAAGGGTAACGGTAAGGATTTAGGAGCAGCATACCAAAAAAAAAAAAAAAAAGGATTTAGGAGCAAAAGCAAAGAGAAATCAACGAGTTTTCTCAAGCTTCTTCTTTTGAATTTTCCCTTTATGTTGTATCTCTCGGGTTTGATGGATTGTTCCACAAATATGAGTGGTTAATCGAATTTAAGTTTCTAGATTAGACGAGTAACTAGTTGATGACATAATTTTATGTGATTCTTTTCTTATATGGAAAATTGTTATTTCTTAATTCAATTATAGTGTTTTTAATGTTTGCTATATTATATGGCCCATATATACAAATATAAGACATTGGGAGAGGAATTGAAAGATGAAATTCAGTATGGGAACCTCTAAAAATTAAGCTTAAGAATTTAGCATCTAGAAATGGACTGAGTCCTTTGAAGATAAATGAAATTCAATATGGGAACCTCTAAAAACTAATCTGATTCTGATTTAATCAAAAAAACAAACCTATGATTTTAGACCCCAAATTATTTTTCCTACATGTGATCATAGTATATGGGCCTTCTGCTCATGCAATATGTTTGAACCGGAAATAACATATTGAACTGTGCTTTTTATTTTAGTCCATGAGTAATATTATATGGGCCTTCTGCTCATGCAATACTTCCTTTGCTATTATTTAGAAGCTGATACGGCTGAGATTTTTTATGAAGGAAATAACATCTAGTATGGGCCGGAAACTGATGTGATTGGTAATTGCTAGAGTCGTACAAGTTAACCCAAAAATGACAAGAGGGCTTTTCTCAAGCTTTGTGTAATATTTTGGGCCGTTGAGGTGAATTCTCAACTCAATTTTCTTAAATACATATATTCTGCCCCAATACATCTTAAATTGGCATAGGGTTTATGAACTTTAACCAGCTTGAGACTCCTTTAATACACTTACCCTCGACAATTTAAAAATATTAAATTGCTGTTAAAAATACAATATTTATGTTAAAAATACATAACTAATTAGTTCTTGTAGCCCTTAAATCGATTGTACTAGAAGGGTAAAACCAAAACTAGTAAAATCCATTGAACTCTGATTTTATATTTAACAATATTTAATAATGTATCCTGATATTCATCCCAGAACTATAGAGAACGTATAGAGCAATGTTCTAATTACAGTAGCAAGAAAACAAAAAGAAACAGAAGATGAAAATGGAAAATTAAAATAGTCTCAGAGAAGCATCCAAATAACATCAAAAGCAATTTTTTCGAAAGATTTATTGAAAACGTATCAATATGCATGTCATGTAAAAACATTCAAGCCACCCACATGAACTTTGATAGCTGCTGCATATGCATAAAAATTAGGCATTGGCCAAAGATCTCAGCAGTCAGCAGGCTTTTGTTTAAAAATAAAATAAAACTTATTCTCTGCCAGAAAAACAAAGCCTAGTAACTTGGTACTATATAGATTGCTAGAATCATACTTTTTTTTATCCTTACTTTCAAAATCAAAGCATGTAAAGTTATCATTTGTGATGTGAACTTTCAAGCATCTTTGAGGTTTCATGGTTTACAAACCAATACAAAAAAAACTGCAAAAACATAAAAAAAAAATCCAGAATGAAAAACTACATGGAATGGACCATTTGAAAAACCAAGTCTTTTTTACTCTCAGCAACTGTCATTACCAGCTTATATAAAAATAAAGCACTCATCATTAAACTCCAACTACGAGTGTGAGATGAGGACAATTTTCATGTACTAGCTTACATGAAAATAAAATAAATAAAAAAAAGTGGTTCTTTTATTTTTCATGAATAAAGATTTTACATAAAGCATTCCCTGCACCTACAAATAGAACTAACTACATACAATTCACACACACACACCAAAACCATGAAGTGTTAATCAACAGGAATAAAATACCTCTCCAAACAGCAGCAGAGGGTGTAGAATCAAAATTTCATAAGATAAGGCCTAAAACCATTAAATAGAAGCCCAATTCATCAATTCCTTAAACTCACCGAGAGAGAGAGAGAGAGAGAGAGAGAGAGAGAGAGAGAGTGAGAGTGAGAGTGAGAGTGAGATGTGAAAATGAGATCGAAGATGGGGTATTTATAGGGAGGGAGTTCGAAGCTATTTCTCAATTTTCCTGTTTTCAGAAAATATAACACTCACTCACTCATTCGTGTTGCAGCGTCCAAGAAAAAAGAAAAGGTACGTGACGCGGCGACATGTCATCTAATTTTTTTTTTTTGGAAAACAACGTCTCATCTAAATTTTGTTCTAAATAAAAAATAGGTTATATTTATATTTTATTTTTATTTACAATATGTTAATTTATAATTTATTTTTATTTATAATCTGTTATAATTAGAGATGTAA